TTTTGTTGTTATTTTTGTTATTGTTGTTGTGACTATTTTAATCTCTTGTACTGCTATTTTTGTTGTTGTTGTTGCTTTATTAATTGATCAATTAATTTTCTCGGTAAACAAGCATTGTTAACTAAAAGAGGGAGAAAAAAGTCAAGCGTGTCTGGTGTTAATATCTTCAAAACCATACCCTGCAGTCTAAACCGACAAAAAATTCAGAAATTGTATGAAACAAGTATTTCTGTTTTTTTTTCTAATCTTTTTTTTTTTTTTTTTTAAAGATAATCTTAGTCTGACTTGTTCAATAGTTTGCCATTATTTCGTTTTTCTTGTTCTTTTATCTAAAGGGGATTTTGTTGCTTATCTTTTGATATGTCTTCCTTCAAATCCGTTTGTGTGAATCATTAACTCAGACCTTTTGCTGGAGGGGGGTAGTTGGCTACAAGCAAAAAGCTCAAAAAAGTAAAATAAGCATCCAACTCTTTTCAAATTTCACACATACAGACATTTTCGCTAACACAGGATCTGTTGTGAAGACGATATATATCTGCGAACCCCTTCTGGTATCTCACCCACAAAGTGTCACAATTTTGAATACTTTTATAGAAAGAATATTTTATTTCACATTTTAGTACGGAATTTACATAACTTATATAATAGCTGATTTTCTGTATATTTGTGCTTCATTTTTTTACCGATCATTAATACTAGTTTACTCGTTTTCTTTACAGGTAAGCGTTTGCTCAAAAGTCAATTGCAATAAAATTGTGTAAGTATTGCTAGTAAATTTATTCTAAATGTTTCCACAATAGCTGGAAGTAGCTACGTTTAGAATAGATAGATTTTTTCGATAAAAAATAAATTGAAATGTACATCAATGTCACTTGCCGGTTAATTAATAGAAACAAGTTAAAAAGTATCAGTCGGGGTTTTTATTAAAATATATTTTTACTTGTGTTCACTCCCATTATGAGGAAGTTAACAAAGGGAGGAGTCTCAAAATTACGAAACATGAATTTTGGAATACATCGACTACTTCCTCCATTTTAACGTTCGTGACGGAGGTACCAAAAAGAGTGGACCTAATATTCCATTCTCCAATACTGATGAAAACATTGGGATGAGCAAAGTTTACTTTCAATTTTATGCAAATTTTGATATTTTTTTAGATAGGTTGGTAGATATTGTTCCACTCCATCTGATACCCCCTACAAAGGAGTCAAAATTTTGAATAGCCATGAAGCTCGTAAAACTCCAAATGAGCAGCTGATTAATCACAAACTCGGCACATCTCAATATTTCTATTAACACAAGATCAGATGTGAAGATGAAATATGTCGGACCTCTTCTTCTCCCCCACTACGGTTCTACATTTTGGATGACTGTATCTTTCATAAAATACAAAATAAGCATCCGATTCTCATTGAATTTCACACATCCCAATATTTCTACTGACACAAGATTTGCTGTGAAGATATATCGGCCCATTCTTTCCCCCACCAACGTCACAATTTTCAATATTTACATACCTCTCATAGCATACGAAACAAGTCTGCGATTCTTTTAAAATTTGGTATGTCTTAGATATTTCTCTCAAACAGAAATCTGATGTTAATGTGGAATTTATAGGTCAACTCCTTCTGGTACCATCTCCCCCAAAAAAGTTCAACATTTTGATTATCATTTATTCGCATAAAATTATAAATAAATAATAAATATTCTTTTAAATTTTGCTCATCTCAATATTTTTATCAATATTAGATGAAATGGGATACTTCGGCGCACTATGTCTGGTACCGGACGCACATATCAAAATTTTCCAAAAATTGATGTATAAATCATATAAACTGAAGGAAGGAGTCGATTTAGTCCAAATCTGGCACTTATGACTTAGGTCAGAAACCCAGTGAAAACATTGGCCCACTTCTTCGAAACATCCCCCATAAAACGTCGACTAAATCTTCAGACTTTGAAATTTTTTTGTACGATTCAATATTTTCCTTTTCCGGAAAGAATAATAGGAAAATGTTTGCCTTTAACACCAAAAAGTCTTGTAAGTCTATCATTTTGAAGTTTACCAAAGAGGACATTATACCTAGGAGCCAACATTGGTGACTTCAATATGAAATTTCAGAATATCAACTCTATACCTTCAACCAATAGCAAATTTAAGATACCAGCCTCATCCATTCACCCAATACCAAATTTAGTACCATTTAGTACTTTTCGTAGAAAAATAGGACGAATTTCCAAACCTACCTCTAAATCTCAATCGCAGATATCAACAAAGACATCAATATTAAATTTCTGGATTCCAGCCCAATTCGGCACCACTTAGTACTTTTCAAACAATTTTAGTACACATTTCCAAAAGCAGATACTAATAGTTACCTCTGTATTAAATTTGGGGATTCTAGCCTATTCCTTCGCCCAATACTAAATTTAGTACCATTTAGTACTTTTCGTAGATAAATGGGACACATTTCCAAACCCACCTCTAAATCTCAATCTTAGAACCATTTAGTACTTTTCATAGAAAAATTTAACACATTTCCAAACTCACCTCAAAATCTCAATCCTAGATACCAACAGTAACCTTTATATCGAATTTCTGCTCTTTAATTTGCCCCATTACCAAATTTAATACCATTTAGAACAATTATAGTTCGCCTATCCAAAACCAGCTCCTTCTCTCAACAACAAACACCGACAGTGACCCTAATATCAAATTTCACGATTTCATCTCTATTCCATCCCCAAATACCGAATATATTGGAATTTAGCACTTTTCGTACCATCATAGTACACATTTTCAAAACTTCCTCCATATCTCTTCAATATCAAATTTGACGATTCACTTACCCAATACCCCCCCACCTTGGAATGGAGTGTATATTAACTTTGTCATTCCGTTTGTAACATCCCTAAATATTCGTCATAGACCCCATAATGTATATATATTCATAATCAGCATAAAATTCAAAGCCGATTTAACGATGTCCGTCTGTCTGTTGAAATCACGATACAAGCCACATTATTTGACGTAGAGGGTCAAAATTTAGCAGAATAATTTGTATTGTGTCTAGGATGGTTGGTATTGAAAATGTGATATATCGGTCCACGTTTTGGTGTAATCCCCATTTAACGGTGCCTGCCGATATTCGGTATTTTAATTATTTTTGCCACATTTATTCACGGATTTGTCTAAAAATTGTTATTTGTTGGTCATAATGGGTACTAGTTCGGGTGGCAAAATATTGTACGTATGGGTCCATGCTTTGGTATAGCCCCTATATAACGGTACCTCCCGATATTCGGTATTTTGATGATTTTTGCCGCATTTTATCATGAATTTGTATAAAAATTGGTATTTGTTGATCATAATGAGTTCTAGCTCCGTTGGCGAAACATTGTAGGTATAGGTCCTCGTTTTTGCATAGCCCTATATAGCGGTACCTCCCGATATTCCGTATTTTGATGATTTTTGCTTCATTTTCCCACGAATATGTCTAAAATTTTGTATTAGTGGGTCATAACTGGTTCTAATGTTTCCATTACCCTAAGGTGGAGGGTATTAAAAGCTCGACCCGGCCGAACTTAATGTTTTTTTTACTTGTTAAAACTACCACAGATACCGAAAGTAACATCTACACTTAATTTCAGGATTTCAGCTCTTTTCCTTCACCCAATACCAAGTTTGGTACTATTTAGTACTTTTCGTACAGTTATAGTATACATTTGCAAAAACACCTCCAGATCTCAATACCAGATAAAAACAGGGAACTTAATATGAACTTTTGGTATTCCAGCTCTATCCCTTTACCCAATATCAATTTTAGTACCATTTAGTACTTTTTGTACAAATATGGGACAAATTTCCAAACCACCGCCAAATCTCAAACATAGAAAATACCATCAGTAATCTAAATATCAAATTTTAGAATGTTATCTCTATCCCTCCACCCAATACCAGATTTGGTCCCATTTAGTATATTTCGTGCAATTATTGTAAAAATGTTCAAAATTAATCACAGACACCAAAAGTAACATCTACATTCAATTTCAGAATTTCAGCTGCATCCCTCCGGCCAAATCCAAGTTTGGTACTATTTACTATTAGTACAATTAAAGTACGTTCTTCCAAAACCAACTCCATATCTGAAATCCATATACCAACAGAGACCTCAATACCAAATTAGAGAATTTCTGCTCTATCCCTTCACCCAATACCAAATGTAGTACCATTTAGTACTTTTCGTACAATTATAGGATGCATTTCCAAACCACTGCTAAATCTCAAACATAGATACCATCATTAATCTAAATATCAAATTATAAAATTGTATCCCTATTCCTCCACCCTATTTGGTACTATTTTTTGGTTTGGTACTATTTTCTACATTTCGTGCAATTATGGTAAAAATGTTCAAAACTACCTCAAAACTAACCACAGACACTAAACCTAACATCTACATCAAATTTTAGAATTTCAGCTGCATCCCTCGACCTAATACCAAGTTTGGTACTATTTAGTACTTTTAGTACACTTTGATATTGAGTGAACAGATAGAGCTTCAATTCTGAAATTTGGTATTAGGATCGCTGTTCATGTATATGAAGGTTGTTTCAGAAATGTTTACTTTAGTACACATGTGTAGTAAGTGCGAAATATCGTACTATTTGGTACGTTTCGTTCACTTATAGTACACACTTCCAAAACTACGTCTTTATCACAGAACTCACAATAAGCAGAGACCCCAAAAACAAAGTTTTAAATTTCAGAATTCCAGCTTATTTCGTTTGTCCAATACAAAGTATTACATTTTTAGTACTTTTCGTACCTTTTTAGTACGAATTTCCAAATTTACATAATTTTTTCCTCTTCAGATACCCCTCAGACATATCTTGACTTGTGTGTTTTTAGTTTTCGTTTATTTTAAATTCATTAATTTTAGTTTCAACAAAACTTAACATTTGGACAAAATACTTTTTTTTAGTGACCAGAGAACATTTTAAACAGTTGTGGGTGGCAAATAGGCGGAAGCCTTGTTGCCGCTGGTGCTGCTGCCAGAAGTAGCAGTGGTGCCAAAACCAATGCTACCCGAGGAAGAAGTACCACTGCTACCGAAAGAACCACCAGTGGTGGTAGTGGAACCAAAGGAGCCAATGCTACCACCAATGCTGCCGCTGCCAGCATTGCCGCCATCACCCAGAATACCAACAACGGATTGTTGGGGGGCGATGCCGGCATCGGTGTGTTCGGAGCTGCCTTCGATTTTGTCGTATTCAGCTGAAAGGGGGAGAGAGGGGAGAAATGTTATTATTTTTTAGTGTCTCTTGTAGTAGTTGAGAAACCTACCTTGAATTTGTCTTTGGGCATGTTGGGCCTCTTCCTCGGTTTTGTATTTGATGAAGAAGATTTCTGGCTTGCTGGGCACTGTGGGAGCTGGGGTGGCGATGTCACTGACTTCCAAGTTGTTATCGTTCTTGGAGAGCACATAAATGACTGTCTTCTCCTCTTGGGGAGCATATTCGGCGGAGAGCTTGACATTGGCATTGCTCGATGAGGGAGCCTTAATGAAGACAACGCGATAATTCTTTTGGGGACGACCAATAACCAAATGTTTGGTCATTTCCAAGTTTTGGTTGTCTTCGGGAGCGGATACCGTGATGAATTGTTTGTGGACCAAGGGAGCTTCAAAACCGGCATGACCACCACCAACAGAGCCACTGGAGCCGAAGGAAGAGCCGCTGGAACCAAAGCTAGATCCACCGGAACTGAAGGAGGGACCCGAGCTGAAGGAGGAACCACTGCTGCCACGAGAGCCAGAACTAAAGCTAGAGCTGCCACCACCCAAGGAGCCAAATGAGGGCACGGAGCCACCAAACGATGAACCACTGGATCCCGAGCCAAAGCTGGGACCACGGCTAATGGAGCTGGTGCCAAAATTGCCACCAGCAATGGAGCCCAAATTTCCACCGGAGCTGCCAAAGGTACCGGAGACTCCGGTGCCATAGTTATATTGGGGCTTGGCCAAGGCCACGGCAGCCAAGGAGCACAAGGTCTAAAATTAAAACCAAAATTGGTTAAAAAGTCCATTATATATCCTTTGATAGTCCTTTAAGGTAGCTCTTCGTTAGCTGATCCAATTTAATTACCAAAAACAGACGCATTTTGTCAGCAAATGGCAGAGATATTCCAAAACAAATGTTAATTTGCAGATGTAATTCGAAACTGATGATTCCATACCAAATACCCAACGTTTTTATAGCCAGTGCAGAAACTATTTTCTGCGGAGAGGTCAGTTTCGAAGCAAAACCCCAAATAATTTACCGGCAAAATTTCTCATTATGAGAAGGAAAAGAAGAAGAAAAAATACTATCCACAATAAATTATCCATCCAAAAAATTTTTGAAATGGTCTTGGAGATCTCATAATTTTCGTATTGCCATTGTTGTTGTGAGGGTTTCCTATTTTGTTGTTATTTTTGTTATTGTTGTTGTGACTATTTTAATCTCTTGTACTGCTATTTTTGTTGTTGTTGTTGCTTTATTAATTGATCAATTAATTTTCTCGGTAAACAAGCATTGTTAACTAAAAGAGGGAGAAAAAAGTCAAGCGTGTCTGGTGTTAATATCTTCAAAACCATACCCTGCAGTCTAAACCGACAAAAAATTCAGAAATTGTATGAAACAAGTATTTCTGTTTTTTTTTCTAATCTTTTTTTTTTTTTTTTTTAAAGATAATCTTAGTCTGACTTGTTCAATAGTTTGCCATTATTTCGTTTTTCTTGTTCTTTTATCTAAAGGGGATTTTGTTGCTTATCTTTTGATATGTCTTCCTTCAAATCCGTTTGTGTGAATCATTAACTCAGACCTTTTGCTGGAGGGGGGTAGTTGGCTACAGCCAACATACAAGCGGTCTTCGTCATGTTGCCTCAACACATGTTTCGGTTTGATAATTTCAAGGGATTCCGTATTTTTTTTTTTTCGAAAAAAATATTTTTAATTTTTTTGTGTTTTTTTTTTTAATTCGTCATGACGGCTAACTCAACACCTTAGTTTTTTATATTTTCTGATAGTATTTGACCTCTGTTACATATTATTTATTTCAATTCGATTATCTTGTTCCGTTGCAATGTTCCAATATGTTTGAAATAAAATAAAACGACATTGGGTTTGGCTTAGTCGAAATTTTATTCGATGGTGGACATGTAAACTTAAAACTTTTGGGCCACAATCTTCAAATTTTGCATTTAGGTCAACATTGATTAAAGGCATCAGAAAAAGTGATTTTCTTGGAAATTAGTTTCAAGTAGGTCCTAAATATTAGTGTAAGGGTTCTGAGAGGTGATTTAAATATTTTTCTGGTGATGCAAAAATATTCTGTTGTTATACCAACAATGGTTGTAAAAGGTTACTTAATTTTATAAATGTAGGTAGTATTTAGCATGGTGGTCGGTTCTGGTGTGATATTAGGAAATTTTGCTAACAACTTTAAAATATTAAAATTACTAAATAATGATATTGTACATTTGGTACTAAAAATTACCAAAATCTGTGCTTTTTAGATTTAAGTTCTCGCAATAAGGTGATAATTTGCGGAAGGCATCAGAAAAGGAGATTCGTTTCAAAAAGGTTTATTGCCAGAGTTAGGGATCTGAAAGGTTATTTAAATATTTTTCTGGTGATACAAAAATGTTCTGCTTTGCTACAAAAATGCTTCTAAAAAGACACTAAATGTGAAGTAACGTAGATAGATTTTTATTGGGGTCTCTGTAGGTGTGGAGGTGTGATATTGGAAAATTGTACTAAAAACTTCAAAATATGGTTTCGGGGAAGAACAAACATAGGTTTTCTAAAAAAAGAAAAACATATTTTGAAGGACCTACAAACGTGGATTTTTTTTAAAAACTGTGTTTTTCTCCTTGATTTTTATAAAAAATGCTTTTCAGGAACCCATGAGTCACGGATTAAAAAAAATATATATATATTTTTGTTTATATATTTATATATTATATATTTCCGGTACCAAAAATTCGATGATCCTTTAACATGTCTAGTGTAGTTAAGAATATTTCTTAAAAATATTTTTCAAGGACCAACAGACGTGGATGTTTTATAAAAATATGTTTTTTTTTTTTCAAAAACCAGCAAACGGCAATATATATATTTTTTAATGAACAACACATGTGGATTTTTTAAATATTTTTGTAATAACGCGAATTAAAAAAAAGATTTGAAGACCAAACAAATGAGCATTTTTTAAAGTATTTTTGCGAAGACGAATTTTTGTTTAAAAATATTTCTTTTCGATTTTGATTTTTTAAGGACCCAAAAATCTGGATTTTTTAAAAATAATTTTAAATACCATAAAAACGAGGATCTATATATTTTTAAGGACCTACAAATGGGGTTTTTTTAAATATTTTAATGGACTTGAATTTATTAAATTAATTTTCAAGGGACGTGGATTTTTTAAACAATTTTCAAAGGACCTCGATTATTTTAAACAATTTTCAAATGAATTGAACTTTATAATAATTTTCAAAGGACTTCGACTTTTTTAAACAATTTTCAAATGATGTGGATTTTTTAAAACAATTTTCAAAAGAAATGAAGTTCTTAATAATTTTCAAAGGGCGTTTGTTTTTTGATAATTTTCAAAGGACGTGGATTTTTCAAACATTTTTGAAGGACGTGGATTAAAAAAAATGGAAGACGTGGACACTTCAAAAAAAAAAAAAAAAAAAAAAAAAATAAGGTCGTGGATTTTTCAAAAAATTAAGGACTTGAATGTTTTAAAAAAAAAAATAAGGACGTGGATGTTTCAACAAAAACAAAAAAAAAATAAGGACGTGGATTTTTAAAAACAGAATTGAAGGACATGGATGTCTTAAAAATAATTTTTAAAGGACGTGGATTTGAAAAAAAATTAAGGACGTGGTTGTTTTAAAAATATTTTTTAAAGGACGTGGATTTTTAAAAACAGAATTGAAGGACATTGATTTTTAAAGGACGTGGTTGTTTTAAAATCATTTTTAATAGACGTGGTTGTTTTAAAATTAATTTTTAAAAAATGTGGATTTAAAAAAAATTAAATGACGTGGAAAAGGACGTCACGTCACAAAGGACGTGGATGTTTAAAAAAAAATTAAGGACGTGGATTAAAAAAAAAATAGAGGACGTGGATTTAAAAAAAATTGAAAGACGTCGATTAAAAAAAATGAAGGACATTGATTTAAGAAAATTGTGGAGTGGATTTAAGAAAAAATAAAATAAAGGACATCGATTAAAAAAATTGAAGGACGTGGATGTTTTAAAAATCATTTTGGGCGTGGATGTTTTAAAAATAATTTTTAAAGGACGTGGATTGAATTTTGGCATTTTTTTTTTAAGTATTTGCATTTTTTAAGTAATTTTGAAAGGCGGATTTTTGTTTAAATTTTTTTCTTTCGATTTTTATTATTTTTTTGAGGGCCAACAAATCTAAATTTTTTGTTTAAATAAAGGATTTATATATTTTTAAGGACCTAGAAATGAGGATGGCGTGGTTTTATTAAATTAATTTTCAAGGACGTGAATTTTTTTAAACAATTTTCCAAGGACGCGAATTTTTTAAATTATAAAAAGAACGTCGATTTTGTTTAACAATTTTCAAAGGACATGAATTTTTTAAATTTTAAAAAGAACGTCGATTTTGTTTAATAATTTTCAAAGGACGTGGATTTAAAAAGGCTGAAGGTCATGGCTGTTTTAAAAATAATTTTTAAAGGATGTATTTTTTTTAAAGGACGTTTTTTGACAATTTTTTATTGGACGTGGATTTTTTACAATATTTTAATGGACGTTGATTTTTAATATATATTTTTAAGAACGTCAATTTTTTAAAATTTTTTTTAAAGAACGTTGACTTTTTAAATGTTATTTAAAGGACATGGATTTTTTAAATATTTTTAATGAACGAGAATTTTTTTAAATATTTTTAAAAAGATGTGGATTTTTTTTTAATTTAATTAAATTTTTATTCAAAGGACATTGATTTCTTTTGAATATTTTTGAAAAGACGTGGATTTTTAAAATTATTTTGTGAGTATTATTTAAATGTCATGGATTCTTTAAATACTTTTAAAGGACTTTAATGCTTTTGAAAATTTTAAAGTGTTTTAATTTTATTTCTAAAGGATATGTATTTTTAAATGTTTATAAAGGACATACAAAATTTAAAAGTATGTTTTCAAGAATTTATCCTCGTTTTTTACTATTATTTTGCTAATGGATATTTCCACAAACCATGTGCTTAGCACAAGTACGAATTCTATTGAAATTGGAGATATCGGTCCAAATTTAGTCAATTTTGGTGAAAATTGGTTTAGATATAACTATATAACGTCGGCTCAAATTGCATGGATTTCGCCGCATGCAACCGAATTTATCCTGGAAGCAAATGCGACATTCGGTGAAACAGTTTTTCCTTTATATTTAAAGCTCCGATAGTAATTTAATTTGGTACGAGTGGAACTGGTGCCTCCGTAAAATTTGGCGGAAAAATAGTGAAATAACTGACTGATCTAAAGTCAATGCGCCAGGGAAGTTAGAATCTTGAAATTTTACACGAGGCGTGTGATAAGGCTGGATTTTTGGAATTATTTGTAGTTAGCTTTGAAATTTGGAATGAGAATCATTGAAGGCTTGTACCAAAGGGTTTTTAGAAATTCGAAATTTAAGTATACGAAAAGTTCTAAAATGGTACTAAACTTTTAAAATGGTACCATTTAGTATTATGTGAAATTTTGTTTTTGGGGCCTCTGTTGGTGGTAGGTTTGTGATAAAGAAACGGTTTTGGAAATGTGTACTATCAGTACACGAAAAGTACTAAATAGTAATATATTTCGTTCAATTTGGAATTTGGTGAAAAAAATTCTGAAATTTGGCATTAAGGTCGCTGTTAATGTTTTTCTTTAGAAAAAAAATATTTTTATACTCTCTCAAAGTTTCTTGCAGTATTTGTAATTTTTAAAAGCTTTTTGACTTTCGGTCCCAAAACAAACGTCTACAACCCTTCTGCTTGTGAAACAAATACTTAATCCGCAGATAAATCAAGTTTCCTCTCTGAATCATCAATGTCCAATTAAATTGATCGAAAAAGTATTAGATGATTTGATCATGATTTC